ATTTCATGGATTGTATTTTTTTTTTTTTTTTGAGTATTTTTTCTTGATGTAATAGCAGTACCTCAAGTAAAAGTTAAACACAAGTGAAAAATCTTTCAGTGCAATACGAAAAAAATAAATAAAATACAATTATATTTCTCTGAAAACAAGTCTTATTATCTAATGATTTTTAGATGCTTTAACTTGAAAGAAGTTAAAAACACATTTAAATATCGTTGATATATTGTTTTTACACTATTTTTACATTTTTGTTAATATTTTGAATTGGACTTTACTTTTATATGTTCTGTTTTAATTTGAATTTTAGTTAAAGTTTTGGTAATTTTGTTGTGTTTTTGTCATTTGTATTAGTTTTTGTTATTTTTAAATATGTTTATAGTGTTTATACATTTTTATTTCAGTTTTAGTTATTACTTTTAGTACACCAAGTAAAATAAAAAAATTATAATTTGCCTTGGAAACTTGCTGAAATAAAATGTTCAAGTTTTTCTTTTTTTTTATTATTTCAGTTAGCATATATTTTATGTTATATTATTGTTTGTATATAACCCAGGTGACTGTTACTTGATCTGGCCAAAGAATTTTTTGGTGTTAGTAGAATTTTTAGGTGTAAGTAAAAATATTTTGTAATATTTGTATATGAATTAATGAAAGTTGATGCAGAGACCAATGACCAATTTCAGTGTTTTCTGCTCCTTATTCCGTTATTAGTGGCATAAATTTAACGGCAGAGCAGCCAGAGGCCGTTTGTTTAGGGATTAATTGGACTTGGATGCAGTTGGGTGATCTAATTTGATATTTGGCAGACTGACATTGTAGCATATTCTGTGAATAAGCTGGTGCCAGACCATTGAAAGGTTCTGTAAATGTTCTACATTCAAAGGAAACATATTTTGGAAAATCACATCTCTGATGTTGTGTTACTTGTTTTATGTGGCAGTGTGGTCGCACTATTATTATTATTACAGAAACAGTCCATTATTGCTTTTGATATAATGGTTAATCTTTTCATTAAATTAAATATAAATAACATCTTTGGTTTGTTAATTTTGACATTCTCTCGTAATATCATGTCCTAACCAGGCGTTACATAACAAAGCACAAACCGAGTTTTTGTCCAAACTACTTACGACTGTGAAAAGCACAGAGCAATAAAACATTGATGCCTTATTGGTTTCTATGACAAATCATGCTGAGTAGCTCCGCCCACAGCAAAATTTAATTGGTCCAAAATTTCAGTCGACGTACCTGTATATTAAAAGGGTCATTTGCACAAAAAAAGTTATATATTTGCCAAAAAAAATAAAAAATCAACTCTCATTCTGACCCACTGTCTGAGATGATCCATTTTAGGGGGTGTCTCACTTAAGGCTTGTCAATAAAACAGCCACAGTTCTGATTGGCTAACACAATTACATGGGAAACAGTATTAACACCCCCTCATTATTGCATGTGAGCAAGTGTTTTGAAAACATTATTCATATAAAACCCATCATCTAAAGACAAATCATTATGAAATTGTTTACTTGTGCTTTGTGATGTAGCTGCTCTCAGATACAAAACAGTTGGCTGCTACATCTTTCAACAAAAGTTTCTTTGCAAACTCTCCTTTACACTTTGCCTCATTTACAAGACAATCTGTCATAAAATGCTGTACAGATGCTAACATGCTGTTTAAAATGGATGTTGCTTTTCTCTTCCATTTGTCCTGTTGTCGGGAGTAGCTCAAGTGCATGAAATACATCAGAAATTGTATATTGTATCTAGTATAGACAATGGCTACGTTTGCATGCACAATTTTTGGTTCAATCAGACTGAATTCATTCCGACTGATGAATCTGAATGTAGTGTTTACATGAACGCTAAATAAAGTGATCGGGTTGATGTGCGCGTTTATATGTCACGAGCTTCAAATCGGAATTTTATTTTATTTTTTTACATGCGCACACTGCACAAATATAGAGTTTCTCACTGTTTGCGCATAATAACCACTCTCCTACACAGTTTATTTATTTGTTTTTAACAGCAGAATTAATATTGTAATTAATATTGTAATAATAGTGCTGCTCATATTTATCACACAGTAAAAATGCCCCTCCCCGCGCCCAAAACGGGTTGCCTGTGGATGAGAATCCAAAACAAGGACTGGTGGGAGGTTGTCCTGCTCCACTTCACAGTTGCCGAGTGAAAGGACATTTTATAATGACAGGACACACATTTTTACAACACTTTATTCAAAAGGAAGAGCCGTTCGTTCTGCGCGTCATTCGTCATTACGCTATTTCTGCGTCATTGCACATGTTCAATCTGATCAAGTGTTTACATGCACTCTCAATCGTATTAGAAAAGGAATAAACCACCCCCTTCAATCCGATCGAAATTTCATTCCGATCGAGCTCAGTCGGATCGATTAAGGTGTTTACATGAAGGCTTTTCAGTCCGATTGAGCCGTCAATCCGATTACAAACGGATTATTTGGTTGCATGTAAACGTAGCCAATGTCAGTGATAGTAATGGTTTCGACGTGATGCGAAGCAGTGCTCGTGTCTGGTGTAAACAGGTGTCAACCTGTTAAAGGGGACATTGGATGCCCATTTTCCACAAGTTGGTATGATTCTTTAGGGTCTCCATGAAATGTCTGCAAAATACTTTGGTTAAAATTCCTCAATGGCTGTGTAAAACAACACCCTGTCAAAAACAGCTCTGTTCACAGTGAGCCATTCCGGTGCATGTCTCTTTAAATGCTAATGAGCTACTGCTCTCCCACTCCCACTTCTGGTTTTTGTGTATTCGGTGACGTGTTACCATAAAAACTAAACTAATCCACTGCATCCTCAGAGACTCTGATGTTGGGAAAAAATTAAGATTCTTATGTACGCTTTTAAATCCAAAACACCTACAAACACCTGCATTGCTTACAAGACATTGTTGTCGCTACAGCTGCTTGAGTGCAGAGAAAATGGCGGACAGCGCACAACTGGCTGAAGGTGGGAATATGTTAATACGGGACAATCCGTCAGCAGTCGTGGGCGGGGCCTGAGCAGTATGATGTCAAACTGTTCAGAAATAATTGAGACTGTTTAGGTTTTTTGGGGATTAATGCAATGCAAGTGGGCGGAGCCTATGGTGCCACTATTTGTTGATATTTATGTCTTGCTCTGGAGGCAGTCATATGCAAATGTGTTTGCCCTTATGACAGCACAGATCCCACAACATCCAAACAAGGATCATTGTGGGAGCTTATTTACATTAATGCTTTTTTATACTGCCAAAAGATAGGAAAATTTGATTTCTTATGTTATGACCCCTTTAAAGGTCACTAAATGGAAATGCAAAAACATGACTGTTTTAATAGGGAGTTGACTAGTCGACTAAATGGAACAGCAGCTGCTAGTTCCATTAGACATTGGAAATAATAGTCAACTAGTTGAAATGTAGTATGTTTTTTTTAAAGATTTTTAAAAATGTATTATGCATTTATTATGATAGGACAGATCAGAGCTGAGGGGAAGTGAAGTGGGAGAGAGATAGGGGCGGGATCAGGAAAGGTCCTCGATTCGGGATTCGAACTCGGGACGCCTGTAGCGCAACAGCACTGTATGTCGGTGTGCTGCCCACAAGGCTATCGGCGCCGACTGTCATTCTAATGTTTTTATGCGGTAAAACAATTATTTAAAGTCAGACATTGCATGCAAGAGTTTTCTTAGTGTCATTTGCCGCTGGCTCAGGGAAATGTCCCCTTGTAAGATGAGCAAGGAGTGGGAGTGTATTTACCGGTTTAGAGGGCGGAAACATTATGAATGAACGGGAACTGACTTACCTTAGAAAGGTTTCATTGACACTTTTTTCTCATGTTATCTCCATATGATGCCTAATAAAATAGTGCTGCTTTGTTTAAAGGGGTAACTGTGTTAACTGCTATATTTCTGCTTGTCCAAAAGCGCCACCTACTGTCAGAGAGTGAATTTTCATTTCATTCAGCCCGTCTGCTGTTTTTGTTGCCACCAATGTTGTAAATTTGAACCGTTTGATGGGAAATAAAATCAGTTTGGATAATAAACGATATCTAGGGATAATAAGATATCTAGGTTTATTTGACCCCTGTCCACCACTGGTCAGTCAAACAGATAATCTTGGTTAGGATATGGTGTAAAACTAATCCGTCTGTCTCTGTCCTGCAGTGTCGGGGCCGAGGAAGGAGGAGGCAGATTCTGGGACGAGCTCCGCCACGTCGGTCTGCCAGACGACATTGACGTCCGAACACTCTTTGATGAGTCGGGTAAAAACTTGTTGCAAACTTTACTGAAGCACAGGCAGAGAAAAGCCAACTTTAGAAAAGATGTTGCCTAGACTGTAATTTAGAGTGTTTCTTGTAAGTAATAACAGGAAAAAAAGATACTATATAAGAAAGTGCAATTTCTATAAAGAAACCACATTTTTTTTCTCTCTTATCAAGCTGTTGAAATCCATTTTAATATGTTCAAATGACTTTTTCCACTGATTGTACAGAGGATGATTTAAAGAAGTTAAAAACACGTTTGTCAGGAAACAGCCTGAAACTAGACAGTGTAGTCAGACACATCACACTTACTTGAGGTGAGGAACTGAAATTGTTAGTCCAGTAAAATGAACTTGAATGGCTGTTCTGCCAATAACTGTTGAAAAGAAATGATGACATTTTCCTGTAAAGATCCCATGCCATCTTCTGATCCCTTTCCTCCTTCCTTGTGTTTGCAGGTCAGTGCTGGGCTCATCAGAGCTGCGCGTTGTGGTCAAATTTTGTGTGTCAAGCGGAGGATCAATCACTGCTAAACGTGGGCAAAGCCATCCACTCAGGGAGCACAGAGGTATGCTGGGATATCTCTGGTTTAGCTGACGTTTGTCTTGGCTGAAGCATGCGAGGACTCGTGAATAAAGTAATGACTGTAAACTTTATGCAAATATTACATCACCTCACTGAAGTACTTGAAAGGTTATGCAAATGAGGGTTAAAATGCTCAGCTCTCTTAATGGCGGCATCAAAGTGCGTTTTTTTTTTTTCCTTTTGCTGATTGACCATAATGTGTGTGTATTTTAATTTGATCCACGGCAGCTGTCTTTCCTGAAGCTGTTTTAAGATTTTGTCCTATGTGGCTTCCAGCATAGTTGGACACCAGAATGTTGTATTTTTGATGTTGGCCCATATTATCTGTTGGTGTTACAGTTTTTCTTTTTTTTCTCTTTTTTTGTATAAATATATCATGCATATTTTGTTTCAGTCAATTTGGATATATAATTTTTTTTTATGTTTAGACGTCATCTTTTATGTTTAGACCATCATCTTGCTCTAACTTAGTTGAGCATTAAAAACTGTTAAATGTAATCTTCAGCAAATCTCAAAATTCATTTTCTGATTATTAAAAAAAAAAAGGAAATTCAGTTTAAAAATATTGATTTTAGTTTTTAGTGCTTTATTTTTAATTCATTTAGAGAAATACCGCAGAATTTTTCGACATTAATCAGGTTCCACCAAAACGTTCATATTGGTGCATATAAACAATGATAATGTAAGCTGGTCCTATTCAGTTCCAAAATCTCATATGTTAAATGAATCACAAGTCATTTTAAAATAATTATCTCAGTATTATTTATATACTATTATATTATTTATTACCAATCACAGCACACTGGGCTAGCTAACCAATCAGAGCCCATCACGTATTCCTGAGGGAGGGGCTTCATAAAAGAAGGAAATGATCAGTGCGTTTCTCAGAGAAGGAACAGAGCAGTGTGGAATAAAGGTAAATTATGTGAAAAATAACGCGTTTTTTTTTTTTTA